CTTGTGCTCTAAAAAATAAAGATTGTTCTATTTCTTAAGGAAACTTGTTCACATTTTTTAACTGATTTGAAAACGAACGTCTTGTATTGTCTTTTTTTAAAGAAAATAAACTCAATGAGTAAGGTGAACTCTAATCAGTCTATATCTGAGATTCTGTTACATAGCTGGTTTTGTTCTGGTCTGTGGAAACAGTATTTAAATTGTGGATGCATTTAATACCTGATGTTGAATATTAATGTGTATAACATTATGGAGTATGGTTGGTTTAGTGCCTTATACAGAGTTTACTAAATATTAAAATTGTATTCTAAAATGGCAAGATTTCTGATATTTTAGGTTAAAGATGTTGGGATAATAGTCCTCAAAAGAAGCATTTTTAGCTAGTGAATGATGGGATTTGGGTTTTGGGGTGCATTTTGTTTGTTCATTTGTTTCTTGTTTTGTTTTTTTTTTGTTCAGCTATTTTCTTTTTAATTTACCACAGCGTTCTCTATTCCGTAGCACATATTAATAAAACACTAAATTTGGGGCTATTGGTTGAATCTCATGATTGGAATTAAAAGGGAAGGCAGCTTTTATGCTGGGGCTAAAACAATTTTGGGCCACAATTTCTGACTCTTTTGAATGGAGACACATTGAGCCACATCAGTCGAAAAAGCTGTTCCTGCTGGCCCAAATCCAGAGTCTGTGTCGGGCTGTAGTTACCAGTTCTGCACTTGAAGAACCTCTCTGAAGCTTCTAACCTCTGTACAGTAGCCATACCTGGATAGATGTGTGCCAGCAAGGATGGAATGTTCCTGGTATGAAACCTTAACCCCTTTTTCACCCTGGGAATTCCCTGTAACGGTGCCATGGTGTGATGTGTACTGCAGCCATCTCTTTCCTTTGAAGAGGAGAGGGAATTTCTGTCACTGCCTGCTGGGTACCCTTCATTCTTAGCAAATCCATTCATGTTTGGTGTTAATGACCCATTACCCAGCTGTAGAAAATTGTCTGTCTTGGTATTCAGTGAGCAAAGATGACTAAACATCAAATGCATGTCTCTCTTTAAGATGTTTAAATATTTTCTCCATCAGTATATTTTGAAATAGCTGTATAAGGTGCATAGCTCCTTTCCTCTAATTCTTGTTTTTCTTTCCATGTGTTTTTCTACTGGGCAATAGGGGCCTTCAGATAATCTGAGTTTAGTATTTTCAGCTGTTGAGCCTCCACATGTTCTTCTTACTCTTAGCTGAAGGCTCTGTATGGTATTTTGGGAAGGGGCTGTGGCATGTGCGTGCTGGACTGTAACAAGCTAAAGCAAGACAGTACATTGCCTATAATTAATGCTGATTCGTTGAAAAACAGCAGCAGCTTGTGATGAAGCATTGACTCTGTGTGTGATGCTCTGTCCTCATTAAAAACTTAAACAAAATAGTTTTATGAGGAGTGCTGCTTTACTAAGTGCATGTGAGTCAAGCACTGTTGCAGTGCTGAAGGAGAACCCAGGCTCTGTCTCCTGCCTTACCAAACCTCTCCTGGCACAGGCACGTGGAGCTCTGCTGTCCTCACTAACAGGGGAGGATGCCAAACCCTGCCCCCCTGTCTAAGGTGTATCCCCGAGTTTGAAACCAGTTCCTAGCATGGTTTGCTAATCCTTAATGAGTGCTTCTATCAGCAAGGAGCTCCTCATATGTTTTACAACCTGTATATTACAATCCACTGTAGCATTATAGCTCTCTCTTCTATTTTTTCCTCTGATTAGGATTTCAGTGAGGTCTGTGTAGTTCTCAGCTGAAACTAATAACTCTTGTGTATGAAAAATAAAGTTACCCACCCCGAGAGAGTCTTTCATTGTTTTCCATGCAGTGCCTGCAGCACATTTGTCTTGGCTGTCCCTTGTAGCTCTTGGGAAGTTTCTACTTTGTTACTTGGATTGTCTCTTATGGCTTCAGGCCTAGAACCCAGAGGAGTGCTGGTGACTTGAGGGTTGGGAAGACCCCTGGACAAGGCAATAATRCACCAGTTTGGGGATTTTGTTGCTTTATTGCTGCTAACTCTGAGGTGTGATGCATGCTTACACTGCTGGTTTGTCCTCACATTTTTACTCTATCCTCTGCTYTCTAGAGGAAGCTGAAATTAAATATACAAATCAGAAATATATTACCAATATAAAGGATGTGAGTAGTAAATATGTTTTAAAGAAATCAATCTTTTCATTGGTTCTTTTCTCAATACTGATTTTACTTTACATGTATTATTGTATCTAATACAAAGTAATTTCTTAAAAATACCTCTTTTCTCTGCTTTCCTTGGTTTCTAATGCTTGATTTCCCTTACTAATTTATTTCCCCTTGCTTTTTTTGTTTTTTTCTTCTTTCTRCAGCTGAAGAATGCACTGCTGATTCTGACCTGAACTTTCTTATTCCCATCGCAGTGGGCGTGGCGCTTGGATTCCTTATCATTCTTGTCTTTATATCTTACATCATCGGAAGAAGAAAAAGTCGTACKGGCTATCAGTCTGTATAATCTCTTAATTCCATCTCTTGTTGCCCACCTTCCCTCATCTTTTCCCTTTCCAGACTCCCTGATCTGCCCTTAAAAGAAAAAAAAACAAAGAGAAAAACAAATTAATTAATGGTTTCTTTATTTAAAAAAGTTTAAATCACTTCATAACAGAATAACATGCCATGAGTCTGAAGATGAGTTGCAGAAACTACTGTATGACTGGAGAAAGTAAGTGTTCTGAGGACCATGGAATTGAGCAGAGTAGATGTGTGTCCCTGTGGGAAATGGGATTATTTTTAGTAAAGAAGACATCCACAAAGCTTTCTGTTGTTTAATCGTTTTATAYAAGAAAATTTCTAGATGCCTATAGCTTGTCTTGGTTAATGTTAGAGCTAAAACTAATTAAAAGTGTGAATGCTGTGTCAAAAAGGACTGTACATGCAGTGAGAAAATTAATACCAAGCTCTCAACAGACTTCTATCGAGATCTTGGCATATGGCTGTTCTTGTGAATCAGCCTGAATTTCCTATTCCTTCTGGGTGTAAAAGTAGTACCTGATCTCACTAGTAGCCTGACATAATATGAGAAGAACATCTGATTCTTCTAATGAATTAATTTGTTTAACATCATATGGAGATGATGACTGCTAATGTAAGTTGAATAGCTTTGCACTAGCATGGTGTCCAATTTGCCAAGATAAGGCCAGGTCCTGGAGAACTTTGGCCACTCAGAAAAGGCAATGGTCTGCTGAAGGAAATGTCTCCTGTGCTGTTTTGTTGGATTGCGTTTTTCCTTTTGTCCTGAGCTCAATTGTGAAATGAGGGTGGGAGGCTGGAATTTCACTGGCTGCAGTTTCTCTCAGCTTTGATTCTGAACATGAAAGAAACTACACAGCGTTGATCCATGTGAGGCTCAAAAGTATTTTGAGAGCACTCAGACTGACTAAGAACACAGATTGCTCAGAGATTCCTGCAGTTCCTTTGGACAGCTTTCATAGGTTAACAGGATCACTGAAAAGCTGTCATGTCTGAATGCCAGTGAAGATATAAAACCTTTCAGGTTTGATAGAATTAATCTGCTTTTAACCTCCTCATTGTTGCTGTCTCAGTGTAGGAGCACAAAATTTGTAGCATGAGGAATGCTGATCATAAAGCAGAAATTAATATATGTATAGTGAAGAAAATTACTTCCAAAGGAATAAGAGCATCTTACCAGTTTGAAGATGCTTTCTTTGTAATTAACACCATACCTTTGCAATGCTGTGTTCCATATCTAAACTGTACCAAAATCAAAGTTAGTGGTTTGTGGTTGTGTTGTGCTTCATTCCCATCATGTTCGTTTTGATGGGATGAAAGAAGCCTCTTGCTCTTTAAACCTTTTTGGTCCATCTTTTGTAGCCATTAAACCCTGATTTACAGCTGCCAGGAAGAGCTKCCAGGTCTGCCAAGAGCTCCTGAGGGCACACAAAGTTCTGTCCTGGGCAGCAAGTGTTTATACTAAAGCTGCTTCAGTATTTAATCTCTTTGTGCATTGAGCTTGYATCCACATTGTGGGGAAAGCACCTTCAGAAATTCACATACACACAGGTGAYAGTCAACACTGATGTTTGAGTAACTCACAATAACTGTATTCAGGGAAGGGGGTTTTCCAAAGAGTTGGTTTTGATATTGGAGAAATACCAGTACATCCAATTATTCTTGTCCTCACGGTGGCCAAAGATACAYTCTACCTGGTTCTGACAGAAGTGATTCCGTGGTACAAACGGGCTCTTGGACCAAGTTGTCTTTTTTTTTTTTCTTAGGAATGTAATTTAATGCTGCTGAGTTGGACTGTGTGCTTAAGGTTTGGTTGTCTTGTTCTCTTGTACTGTACCTTTGCTCTCGCAATACTTGATTTCCCTGCCGGTTTACATGGAATTATTTCAAGTGGCATTTTATGAGTACACCCACTTGTCAGTGTGGTGCTTCTCTGCTGCCAGCAGATGGATCACAGCTATGTTTTCATGCTGAGATTGCAGACTGAAGTATTTAATGTCACTTTTGCTAGGCTATCTTAGTAAAATGTGGTCATTTCCTAGATACAAACACACAAACATATATATATTTTATATATACATAGAAAGTATTATTTTGAGCTTCAACAGAAGTAAAAAATTATTCCAGCACTTTAAGGTTGTTGCAGCATGATGAGTGGTGTGTACAATTTTCCAGATCTTGAAGTGACTGTACAAATATGCTGAAAGCAGAATATGTGTATGGAAAATAAAGTTGATTATCATGTTTATAAAGCTTTGTTTCAGTGTCAGTAGACATGAATGCCATTTCTGAGAGCTGGGCTCCTGGACTCTTTGGCCTGGGGAAGTTTATCAAGTGCTCAGAATTCCAGGATATTGTTACATGCTGCTTGGGAATCCAGTTCCCAACCAGCAGCACAAGGAGCTAAAATCACAGGCTGCATCTCTCACACCAGTGTTTCAAGAATGCCACCATAGAGTTAATTTTACTGCAGTCACTTTATTTTAAATACAAAAAATTACATCTTAGAGACCGATATAGATCAGGAAACGACGGCAGATAAAGAACCTGGACCRTGGATGTAGGACAAACATAGCAGAATGGCCCTGTTCAGTCAGTAATTTTAGTAAGTGTGCTTTCCAAGTAGTACATTAGCCCAAGGTGTCCTGTCCTGCTGTGTTCTCACAGCTCCCAGTGCAGCTGGTCTGTGTCACAGCCCAGGCAGCTGGGGCTGCTCAGGGCAGCTCTGCTYGGACAAGGACGGGTGTGCTTCATCTTTGGGGTGATAAACTGATGCCTTCACTCACATCAGCACTGACCCCTTCACCGTGAAAGGACTGAGCATTCCCTGCCTTTTGCTGCAGCACTGTGGCTGTGRCCTCTCTGGAGCTGGGAAGGACAGCTCTGAAAGCTTTGGGCATTTCTGTGCCTGAGAGGGGGCACTGCCAGCCCGTGAGCTGTGACAGAGAGAAGAGTTCCTCTCACTCATCCCTGCACAAGACACTGGGTGAGGATTCCTGGGGCAGGGAGAAGCACTGGAGTGAGGAAGAGGGAGGGAGAAAGGCATTAATCTTCCCACTTTAGAGAGGAACAGCTGGAAAGGTTCAAGGACAAATGATTTTCTATGTGGGCCTTGCCCAACACCTTCAGTGTGCTGAACAAGCTGTGTAAAATRCTGCAGTCAAGATGTTTCAGGGCTAGAGATCCTAGAAAACATTTTGAGAGCTTCCATTTTCACTTTTCAACTCTGTTATTGCAGACATAATCCAGAATTTTTGCTGTTTATTATTTTAACAAGAATAGTGCTAATAAACTGCCTCCTTTTTAGCTTTTGCCTGAGAAATGCACATAAAACTATGCTAAAAATTAAAATTTAAAGCCAAAAAAAATGCATTCTACAGGGATCACTCATAAAAGACCTTGTGAAAGTAGTATTTGGATACCAGAGGTCTTTTTCAATCAAAAGTGAAACCTTTTGCAGGTTCTCTGCCCGGGGGGAAAACTTTTAATTTTTACTAATAATGATTTACATCAGACAATGAAAAATGTGGATCCACAYTCCATTGTATCTCATTGGTTTCCTAACTACGAACAAAAATAAATTAACAATAATCTCCACGTGCCTGTTTTTCCTAGCAGAAAAAAAATGCTGTCTTGATGCTTTAAAAAGGAAAAAGCCTCTGATTGACATAACCTAAGTGCCTGCTGTTGGCAGGGGCTACTTCCCGATGCTGAGCGTGAAGATGATTCGGCCCAGGAAGCGGTCGCTGTTCAGGTCGTTGATAATTCCTTTCCCATTCAGCCTGCACTGAATGGGGACCAAGTGATTCCTCTGCACGTCTGTGAAGTGCATGGCCACCAGAGGGGAGGTGTAGTTCACCTGGAAGGAAGGGAGATTTAGGCGTGGTTTTTGAGGGAGCAGAAAAACAGGCAGGGATTTTGTGTTTAGTGCAATCATTGGTAAATGATTCATGCTTTCCAGGTAGCTGAAAGTGTCTGCCCCATRGCCATGAGGGTCCCTCAGGGTGCTGAGCTGAGCCCCTCTGTGCCTGAGCCTCAGCAAGGTGGAGTCACATCAGAGTTTTGTGTTTTGGGGTCATTGCTCAGGACAACACTGGACAGTGGGACTCTCAAATGCCTTCTACTGTCCTGAAAATCACTCACACACACACTCACACACACTCTCTCACACACTCACACACACAGTTACACAGTTAAACACACGCAGTTTGTCCAACACAGAACTACAGAACGCTGTAATCCCAGTGCCCGTGCCCTCCCTCCTGCCCTCGTCTGCCCAAAATAGCTCCAAAGCACATCTGCACCCCGTGCAGCAGCTCCTGCCCTCTGGTTCCCGAGGGGGGAGGACAGAGATGCCAGAGCCTCACTCACATGGGTGAACTTGCCGTAGTAGGGGTAATACATGAGATCAAACGTGCCGTTCCCAGGGTAGAAATCCACCGACCTGAGGTGACTCTCATTGCCTTTCTGCGATCAGAGAAAAAAACAGAGGCACAAACAMTCACACACAGGACATGGAACACAAAATACAGCTCCCTGCAGAGCTTGTCTCAGAGCAAATGTCCTGTGCCAGCCCCTGGCTGGGCTCAGCTGTGCTGTGTTTTCTGTGAGCCCAGTCTCTGCCCTGCTCCCAGCCAGGGSACAGTGGAGCCATGGAGGCACGGGCAGGGTTCGAGTTTGCTGCTTGTTGAGCCCCTGATGTGCCTTTGCTCTCTGAGAGTGGGACCCAGCAGCTGCCTGGGCAGCAGGAGCCCTTCCTTCACCCCATT